CCTCCTCCAACTCGGAGCTCAGGCCATGTTGTGGAGTACTCGCACCCAGAGAAGCAGTCATGGAGGAAGAGCACCACACTCCTGAGGCCTTTGGAGCTGTTAGGGCCCAGGACACACTTGGCAGTTCCTCTGGTCACAATTTTGGCCTGGACTAGGGCGTGTGCATGTGTTGACCTCCAGGTGTTACTGCAGGTGGTGAGGGTGTCTCCACCCCCACCCCACACTGACCGGGCCCCACGTGAGGGAACCTGGGGAATGGGTTGTGCCCCATGCAGTGGACCAGACTATGGATGGTGACCTGGGAGGGAAGGCAGGCCTGAGGGAGAAGGGCTGATGCCTTTGCCCCAGGTCTGAGGGTGAGAGCATGTTCCAGGACGCAGGCTGGGGGCCAGCAGGGGAGTGGTAGTCCCAGGAATCAGGAAGGTTCCGGAAGGCTCCATGCCCTTAGATATATTCCACTTGCTATAGCAATTCCATCCTGGTAGGAACTGGGTATATTTGGGCCTGGAGGGATTTGGGTCTTGTGTGTCAGCAAGAAGCTTGAATGGCAAACGCTGCCGGGCCCAAGGCCTTCCTCACGCTGTCTGGGCATCAGCAGGTCCTCTGGGCACCACCATCACGGGCGCAGGACAGGCAAGGAGATGTCGAGGATGAGCACTGATGTGGACAGCACCAGGGGTAAACTGTGAACCCAGCAGGGCAGTGGGGAGAGATGCCACATGGTGGGCGCCAGGGATGAATCTCAACACGTAAAACGTGCAAACAAAGGCAGTGGCAGGTGGTCAGGTGAGCTGTGGAGTGGGGTGGAGCTGTCCAGCATAGATGGAGCTGGTGTTAGAATGGGCCATATGCATGTGCAGGGCCCCAGCATGCAGGCTGAGTCTTGGGTTCTACAGGTCATGTACATGGAGGCTGTCCGGGTGGATGCAGTTCTTCCTGGTTCTGGGGCTCCGCTCTCGCCAAGCGAGAAGCCTCCCCTGCCTCCTGAGGTCTGCTAGGCTGGGCCGGCGTCAGATGTTTATGGGCCCGAACACTTGAACTCGGGTGTTTTCCATCACGGCTGCCAGCCGTTGTGAATTAAACACTCCATGTGACCCTTTACCCTCACCACTCTTAAATTCATACTTTAAAAACAGCTTAATGAGGGGTTTACTGGCCCAATTGGAAGTCTTTATCAAAACCTATTAGTACTGGAGTGGAACTGGCCTGCAGGAAGCCATTAGCCAGCCACACTCCAGCACTGGGCCGCAGCAGGTTCCGCCAGTGGCTTCCAGGCCTGCCGCCTCTGCAACTCTGTGCAGTACCCTGCCGTTGCCTAATTGATGGGCCCTTGCCCTCTCCCCAGCCTATTGGACATTTCCTTTCAATTAAGTTGTTCCTGTGGTCAGAGGCAGCCTCAACTACCTCTGTGGTAGCTCACCCTGCTACCAGGCTGCGACCAGCAGGTTGCCTCAACTGCTTCCGGGGTCCCCTTGGGCACCTCTGTGTAGGTGTGACAGCTTGGCCTGTCCCTGGGGAGAAGCACCCCCAGAGCCCACTTTCCCAGTGTCAGCCCCAGCCAGGAAGCAAATTCCTGCTGCCACCTAGGAACAGGGTGGCCAGTGCTGTGTGATTCTGGGGGTGTTGTCTGGAAGCCTGGGTGACTTCTAAAGCCGACTATGTGACCTGTGCTGGCTATGAGTAGTCTCCACGAGTTATCTCCACATGATGGGTCTTGAGCAGCACCATTGATGGCGATCGATCTCAGTGACCTCCCCTGTTGCAGTGGCCCTTCTGTAATCTCTGATGCTCTCCCCTAGGGTCTTGGCATTCTTGGCTCTGGAGTTGCATCTTGCCTCATCAATTATCTTTGTTAACCACCTGCCTGGGTATCTGGACACCAGCGCAGGGCGACCGGTGCTACCTGGGTAAGACTTCCTGCAGCAGGAAGTGGGGGAAGGAGAGGAGAAGTCTACAGGTGGGCAGCCCAGGCGGAGTCCCGCATGCAGCCCTGCATAGCGAGGAGGCAGAGGAAGTGGCCTCTTGGTGGATTGCAGGCCTCCTTGGGGTGTGTGCTATGATGCCAGGTTCTACCTCCTCATGCATGTGTATCCAGGTCCCGTGGGTGCTGTGTTCAGGGCAGGCTTGGCATCTCATTGTCATCCTTCACCTAGGTTGCCCTCCTGGTGTGACCTTCCTTATCATGATGCTGGTTCACACACCCAGGGTTTAGGGGCAATCGTTGCTTTACCCCCGTGGGACCATATTACCTACATTTTCTTCATTCCCTGCTTTTTACTTAATCACGTCTGGTGAAAATTGCTAAGTTGGACCTAGAGGAAAGTACATTTTAGAGATGGGTTTTTCTTATTTACATGATTATGAACGTGCTGCTGGTGCTGAATTTCTCCCAGCCGTAGGTCACCTCTTTTCTGGGGCTTTTCAGAGAGTTAGGTTTCTTCATCAAATTTTTAAAATGCTTCCTAGCTCACTGCTTTTACATTGTGTGCTTTTACATTCTACTTTGTATTTTCCAGTGTCTTGAGTTGATTGCTTATTTCACTTAAGTCCTGTCTCTTATCTGCTAATGAAAGCACACCATGCTGCCCTGACAGCTGAGACCCCAGCACACCCTTGGCAGTGGCAGGCAATGTGGTTTCTAACCCTCCATGCTAATGCTGCTGGACAAAGGACCACCTCAAGAAATGCTTCAGAAACACCACGTGTGTAGGGCTGTGTAGGTCACCTTTTGTTTATCAACTTTGTGTTACATTGTGGCCTGAAGATTCTTCTTTTAATTATTTTTTTTTTGAAGTTCAGCACATGCATAGAGGTGTCAAATCGTAGTACATGGCTTATGCTTCATCTCGGCTCAACCTGAATTTTGTTCTCCAGACCAACCCTTCTATCTCCTTAGCACTTACTCTGGTATTGGCCTCCGTGTTTCTGAATGATGTGTTTGCATGCATTATTCTTGATGCATCACTTTTACACGTTGTCTGTGCGTGTCCCGTTACAACGAGTATCACTCCTACACATCCCTGAGCACTTCTGCTCACCGTCACAGTATAGCTGTGTCACAAGTATAATTCTTTATCCATTTACTTGTTAGTCCTTATATTATTGCAACCATGTAAATATAGTGACGGCTGAGCCAAATAGTGAACTGTAATACATTTTTAAATAATAATTATTGGCCAGGCTCGGTGGCTCAGCCTGTAATCCCATGCTTTTGGAGGCTGAGGTGAGTGGACTGCCTGAGCCCGTGGGTTTGAGACCCGCCTGGGCAATTTGGCGAGACCTCATCTCTACAATAAATCAAAAAATTAGCCTGGCGTGGTAGCGTGCGCCTGTAGTTCCAGCTACTTGGAAGGCTGAGCGGAAGGATCGCCGGAGCCCAGCTGGTCGAGGCTGCGGTGGCCGGGAGTGTGCCACTGCACTCCAGCCTGGGTGACAGAGTGAGACTTCAACTCAAAAAAAGAAAAAGAAAAAGTTAAAAAAATAATTATTATTACTTGTTTTTCCTAAAATTCACAGTTGCCTCTTCTTTTTTGTTTTGCTTAGTTTTTCATCTCTGATCACGTGTCACCAGTTGTTCCAAACTTACCAGTACGACTGCTCCACTCTTCCCAATACTATTTTTTACAGAATTACACACATTAGATAATCTATCAGTTATCTCTCCCCCACCTCATGAGATTTCTGCTTGGAGGCCTCTGGATTTGGAGGTTGTGGGCAGGCTAACTGTCTTTGCCAGCCTGGGTACCACTGATTAGTTTGTCCTTGTTCCCATCCCAGGGGTCCTCATGATCCACAGGGCAAGTGGTCTCAGTGTACTGAGCATAAGGCTCAGAGTCCATCCCACTTCTCCACTGCCCCTCCCCCATGAGATCTAGAGCCTGGTCTTAAGAAGGGTCGTTTTTAAGCCCTTTGCTTGATCACATTTGTAGAAAGAGACCTAGAAGCAGCCAGTGGGGGCAGCTCCTCCTGTCTGCTGGTCCAGTACTAGCCATCACTGTCCAGGGCCGGTGAGCCACCACTGTTTTCTCATGCCCAGTGCCTCCTCCTCATCTGGTCAGTGCGTATGTGTTCTGTGTTGTGAGCAGCCGTGAAGCCAGAGATGGGCTCTTGGTCTCATCAGATGCTCTCACAGCCACTGGCTGGCCCAGCACCCTCAGAATCTGATTTGTGTCCCCGGAGCTTCCTGAGTATAACACCCCTTGCTGGATGCAGCAAGAACCCAGTGTCACCAGCCCAGTCTTTGCCAGTATGAGAAGCAGGAAGAGGCATGTGGACTGGCCCTGGCGTCGTGTCTGGGTGCTGGTTTCTTTTGTAAATGCTTTGATGTTTTAAGACAAATGTTAAATGAGGAAGCCATGCTTTGCTGCTGTGCTCCTGGCTATGGATTCATGGAACGAGCCCACGGGCACAGGTGCAGCTGTGGTGCTGCTCGTGGCTCCTTGGTGTACATAGCATGCCTCATCTTGGCAACTTTGACCTTCTCTTACCAGAAGGGGATGCTTCTGTGGCAGCAGGGCCCTGTGCTTGTTAAGGGATGTCGACTGGCTTTGAGATGTGTGTCCTTGTGACAGGGCAGAGCTCTACCAGCTTTCCTTGTGGCTTCAGCCTTGGTGATATCTTTTGAGTGTTCAGTAGTCTGCCATGAAATAGATGCATGAGGGAGTTTTGTGCAGCATCTATTGAACTTGGCGGCTCGGACTACCTGCTCCATGGTGGGCCCAACTTGTAGGACCCCTGCCAGTCTCCTGGCAGCTGCTCCCCGGCCCAGCTTTGTTCTTCCCCATGTACCTCTCTCTGATGTGGATTTTCCATATCTGTTGGTTCGTCGTCTCTGTACCTCTCTCTCCTCCTGCCAGGCTGGCATCTGCTCAGCTCCTGCCATCTCCGCAGCTTCAGGGCCAGGGAGAGCTCAGTGCCAGCCCTGAACGATCCGATCTGTGGTCCACTGCCATGGGATGCTGGCTCCACGTGACTGCTGCTGGAAGGTGCAGGCTGTTACCTGTCTGCTGGAGGAGGCACTGCACCTTCTGAAGGTCACCTTGGTATGGGAGGCCACTTGCTGGTGAGTGACATCAAGAACCTGGTGAGCTACAAAACATCTCCAAACCCAGAGCTTCTCCACACTTGCAGTGTGCATCTGGGTTCTGAGATCACGTGCGTGGGAGCACACGTGGCGTTCTCGGGGTTGTCACTGGCATGGTGACAGTCACAGGCCCGAGAACATGGCACCTCTTCCTCCTCAGCACCTTTAGCTGTACACCCACAGTTCGTGGCTCATCGGCAGAGAGACGTTGATCTGCCCCCGGGAGTGTTACTAATCCCAGCACTCGCTGCCCTCCCCAGCCATCCCATGTGATTCTTCACGACTCAGTGACTTCACCCAAGCCTCAGGACATGGACACAGCCTTGAAGGTGTCCCCGTGACTGCCCAACCATCAAGGGCCAGGGGATGTCCTGCATCCTGCCTCTGCTCACTCTGCTCCTGAGGTGGGATGAGGGCACCTGGGCAGCAGATATGTCAGGTGTGAAGCCAGGTGGAGTGGGCAGCAGCTGTGTCCCTGGGAAGGTGGTGTCAGCAGGACTTGAAGGAACTCTCTCATACAGGTTCATACTCAGGAGTGGCAAAAATAGAGCTCAAGGCGACCCTACCCCACTCCCTTCCCGAGGGCCCCGCATGACTGTGGCGCGGTGACCAGACTGTACCGTCAGCACTGGGTCAAGATGGCAAACTGCAGACCCTGTGGGTTTTCCACCCCAGCCCTTTTCTGCTCTAGGCCCTGTCCAGCTGCCACGCTGCATTTAATCCCCGCTTCTCTTCTGTCCCCTCTGAGTTGTACCCATCTCCAGACTCACCGCTCTTCGTGACTGTGATATTTTGGAACAGTCCTGGTCATGGAGTTGGGGAATGTCCCTCATGCTGGGTCTGTCTGATGTTTTCTCTGGACAGGCATGAAGATTTTGGGAAGATGCCTCTAGGGGTGAGGGCCCTTCTCATTACCCCATATTAGGGTACCAGAAATCCACACAACTCTCACTGGCTCATGTGTGTCTGCCAGGTGTCCCCTCTGTAAGTCACTGCCTTCCCACCCACTGTGTCCTCTGGAAGCTGGCCACTGAGTCCAGCCACCCTATGGGGTGGGAGGCTCAGAACCGCCTCCTTGAAAGATATGGACAATTTGTGGCCATGTATTAACCACAGAGTCATTGCTGAGGATGTGGAGAGGCCCTGAGCTGCCTCCTGGAGGGCTGTGGACAATTTGTGGCCACGTATTAACCACAGCATCATCGCTGAGGATGCGGGAAGACCCTGAACCACCTCCTCAAGGGGTGTGGACAATTTGTGGCTATGTATTAACAGTGGTGTCTTCTCTGAGGATGCAAGAGGCCTCAAGCCACCTCCTAGGTAGTGTGGACAGTTTGTGGCCATGTATTAACCACAGAGTCATTGCCGAGGATGTGGGGAGGTCATAAGCCACCTCCTCCAAGGGTGTGGACAAGTATTAACCATGGAGTCATCACTGAGGATGTGGGGAGGCCCTGTGCCACACTGACTCAGCCCCAGGCTCTGACCTGCAGCAGGTGCTGCGCAGGCTTCTGGCACACCCCCTTGCCTCTCTGCAGCTGCTCCCTGGAGCTCTGGATGGGGTGTTCCTATATATCCCTGTGCTCCTTACTTTCATGGGCTATCATCTGGCTCTGCCGTCATCTGCCTGTATCTCATGCTGTCCAGCTCCGGCCACCAGGAGCCTCTCCGCACTGCCCCTGTGCCCTAGGCTGCCCATCCTTGTCTTCTGACACCACTATATGCCCACGCCTTACATGTACCCACCCCACCCTGAATCCAGCACTTCCACAGGCCTGGTTCCTCTGGGTGGAGAAGGTTGTTAGAGACTGAGGTGTGGGTGCTGTTCCCACTGGGCGTCCTGGTTTCTAGGCCCTCACAGTGCACAGAGCTAGAAAACATGTGAGCTATGGGTGCAACTTGGGTAGCCATTGCATGTGTCAGCTGAGGAACAGGAGCCATTGGGCTCCATATGCTGCATGATCCATTCACATCCTGTTCTTGGGAGGACAGAGATATGGTGAGGAAGGTAGACCCATCGTTTCCAGGGCCAGGTTCCCGGACTGTGGCTAGGATGCCCTCCTGCCCCATGACATACTCTGACCTGGTTGGCTGTCCAGTGCCCGGTACAGTCTGAATGGGCTGCCCTTCAGCGGCTTTCCAGGCCCCCTTGTCTGCCAGCCACATGCCCTGTCACCGCTGAACTTGTGGGGGGTGGAAGGGTGGGTGCTAGAGACAGTGGCTCTTGCAGGGTATCATGGCAGCCAGAGGCACAACTGCAATGAGGGTGGGGGCAGAGCTCTGTGTCCCCTGCAGGCTCCTGACCTCTGCCCGGGCACCTGCTAGTGGTGACGTGGGGTCCCTGCCCACTCTCTGGGCATGCTGCCCCCCTGGTTCCTTCCTGATGAGTTCACATGCTGCCTCCACACAGGACAGGCTATGCCCATTGGCCACTCCAGGGATGACCAGAAATTCCATCCACTGGTGGTGGGGGAGACAGGGAAAAGCTGTGAGTAGAAATGGACAGTGCCCCAAGATTACATGTGGTAAGGGGGCCCATGCTGACACACACACCGCCAGTGCATTTCAGCACCGTAAGAGGAATGGAAGGCCAGCCACCCAGCAGATGCAGGTAGATGTCTGTGTGTGTACCCAGGCAGGGTTACAGGTGTGCATAAGCTCGCCCACTGTGGTTCTGGAGTGAGACCCATACGACACCTGTGCTTCTGTGTGGGCGCTTCCTGGGACTACCTGAGAGCTGGAGTGCAGAGCTGCCCATGCACCCAGTTGAACTAAAGTCAGATTGAAAGTGCCCTTCCTTAGTCACAACCATCCTGCGTGCTCTGAAGCCAAGTGGCCAGCAATCACATGACTGTTCCCAAGACCTTTCCATCAGGGACTAGGACTGTTCTGGGCTCTGACAAGTCACTGAGGGCTTGCAAGCCTCGCCTGAGTCTCATGCACGGGAAACAAAAGACAAAGCAATGGTAATGCCCCGCCTGTGCTGCTGTGCTGAATATTTGGAATATATTAATCCTGAGAGTGCTCCCTGGCTAAGACTAATTTCCGTTGACAGGAAGCATTTTCATGTTTGTCATTACTGCGGGTTTCATTTCAGGCTAGCGGGTGACACCTGGATGGAGCTCAGTGGTGGGGACACCTGGGGCTAGGAAATCAGGTTATCACAGTGACCGAGTAACCCACACCATGACGGGCACAGGACGGGGTCGCCACAAGGGCATGTGGGACACAGAAGTCACTTCCTACTTCTCCATAGCGCCCAAGGACATCCTGAAAACACACATGAGCTGTTTGCCAAGAGTGGGATGGGAGCTTGTCGTTTGTCGTAGTTAACCTAAAGTATGGACAACCTTTAGCCAGGCAGTCTGTCCCTTGACGCTCTGCCTTCTGTGACTGGATGTGCTGCATCCCCAACACTGGCTTCCTCTGTCTCTGAGGACAGCCGTGCCTGTTTCTCACAGCCATCCTGCAGCAGGACAGCCGAGCCCATGTGAAATATCCTCATGCCATGATACATGACCAGGAGGTCATGTTCACAGAGGCCTAAGTGACTCTGGCTGGTTCTGGAGATTCCCATGCAGAGCCCACTCCCAGGGACTGCCAGCCATGGGGCTGCAGCTGGCTCCAGACAGCCCAGCTAGCTCAGAGGAGAGAAGAAAACTGGCCATGTGGGGGCTAGGGTAGAGTCCACTATGTGAATGCGCTTGGGACTGGATCGTGTACTGGGCTGCAGACAGCCCATATGTGTGCCCATAGCTCTGTGTTTGAGATGCAGTGCCAGCATGCCAGCCCTGAGTAGTTCTCCATCACAGTTGTGCAGCATAAGCTACACCCCAAACACAGCTTTGCAGAACAGTTAATGTAACAAATACACAAAACTGGACCTCTCCAAGGATGTGACAGATACCTCTGAACCCCCTGGGTCCTGAGATGCTGAGGCAGCAGAGAAGGCTTTTTTTCTTGACATCACTTAAGCTGCTGCCAGGAAGCCCACAGATGTCCCAAGGCTGTGGGCCTCCATGGCAGAGCCTCTAGCCACTGCTTTTGAAGCACACGCTTTGCAAACCTGGGCACAGAAGATGCTTTCCCTGGGGCTGGGCATGGAGAGGCAGGGTCTGCAGTGCTGCATGTAGGGTTGCAGGTGAGGCTGCCTGGGCTACATCAGGACACAGGTTCCAATGGCCTCGGTGGTGTTGGCCTGCACAGTGTCGGCTGCCCCCCCAGCCATCCTCCCCAGGGGCGTCTGCCACCACAGCCCCTCTGTTCTGTGATACGCTGAGATTCTGGTGTGCTATTTCATAACTTTTCAGCCTAAAATAATACCCTATAAAAATTAAGAAAACTTTTAAAAGCTCCCAGCTCTCTGTGGGGCCTTCATTAGAAGCCCCTAGGGTGGCAGAGGGCGGCCCTGTTCCATGCTGAGTGACAGCCCATCTTGGGGAGCGCTGTGCTCCCTCTCCTGTTTTTAACAGTATGGTTAATGGCTTTCTCATTTCTAACATGGATGGGCTGTCACTTTTGAAGGATCCATCTGTGCTATATTTAATTACTCTCTCTAAGGCACTAAGGTAGTCTCGACAAAGTAGATGAGACTTTGGTGGATGTTTTCCTCCCAGAATGGCCATCGCAGTGACTTTGCCTCCGAAATGCAGTGTTGAATCCTGTTTCTTCCTGGTCAGAGGTGGCTCAGCCTGTGACACGCTGATCCTGGCTCCAGGACCACTTATCCACGTGTCTCCCCCAAGCCTGACGTCTCCCTGCTACCCCACCAGGCACTGTTCATCTCTGAGCCTCAGTCCTCCATTCTCACCACCAGCCAAGGTGCCTTCGTGTCCAGCTGATGTTGGGGCTCCAGTCCTGCCCTTGCTGCCCTAGCAAGGACCAGGCCCTTGGGCTGGGGTCCCCTCCTGGACCCTCCCAGGGGCTCCACTCTCTCCTCTCTCCTGTTCCCTCCATCCTCAGCCCACCTGGCCTGCTCA